GCACCTACAGACAACGCTGCACCATTGTGCCATGGTATCAACGTATCATCGCATCATCCGAGTCAATTCGTTTCCGTCAGCTGCCGTTGGGCTCAGCTTGAAATGAGCAGCTATTGTTGGTTGATATTGTTGTAGTAGTTCTGGTTCCCTGTTGTTTTGACGCCACCAAAGAGTTGACCGGGCTGAATTTTCGGCTCTGCAAACGGGTTTAAGGAGTGCATCCATCCAGCCCAGCCAACCCCCTCTCCAGAGTGTTTTCTCAGGCTTTCCGATTGTTGTCATACCCTTGCAGAGGGATCTACGACTTGGATCAAAATAATTATAAAATGGCTAAGTCGATCTAAGCTCAGTTAAAGGTCTGATTTGAGCCCACTGATTTTATATTTTTGTTAAAATCTCAGCTCAGCATAAAGCCTTGATTTAAAAAAAAATAATTTTATTTGGAAAAAAATTTGATTGAATAGCTTTCAAGTTCGTTCTTTTCTGAAATACACTTTATAAAAAAATTCTTTAAATCGAGGTTTTTACATATCCTATGCATAAAACTTAAAAGCTTTTAGATTTACTATAAGTATTAAAACTAATACCGTAAAGGGAGATAAAAACACCCATTTTTGAAATAGAAAACCCTGTAAGTTTAATTAAATATCTTAGTTCTACAAAATTAAATATTTTTGGGTACCATTTATAATATACTGGATTATTTTATCGTTAAGCCACCCTAAAAATAGAGAGTATCCCATGCTTCAATACTCGTTACAAACATTTCTTTATTGTCTTATTGTTTTGGATTTGGCATAGGGCAGGGATCGAGGAAGCGGTTTTTCCTGCCATACCTGTATGAGTTTTCCTGTTTAGGTCTCTGTATTCCCATCTACTTCGTAGGACAAAGAAAATGCAAGAGAATGCAAAGTGTGGAACTTGTTCCTAATCCCAGAGGGGTAGCAAGGAGCAGAGAATGGGAATCTGAGAGTTTCCAGGAATAAAAAGCAGAAATGGAAAACAATAATCGATGGCATCGAAGCGCGGAATGCACGTAATTAAAGGGAAGCGAATATATTGGTCTGGGGTAGATTGATTACGAAAATATTCTCGGTTCTCAGTCGCTACTCCCGTCCTTATCCCTTATCCCTTCTCTCACTCGCCTCCTTTGTTCCTTGGTCACGTCCATGTAATTGCCAATAATCACAATATGCGCTTCGGTAAGAAAATTCAATTTACATGCCGCCAGTGGAGCGAGAAAGCGACAGAGAGAGGGACAGAGAATTGAATTACAGGATGACCCCGGTGAGAACGCTTATGAAATATGCCAAAGGTGACTTTCAATTAAATGCCACCTTCAGTGGCGTGGCAAGGATTTCAGTAGGGGATTTTCGGGGAAATAAAATATTTTACAGTGAAAAATCATAAAAGTGATCTCTATTTGGTAAAAACAAAACTATTGTTAGGGTAAACACAATTGTAGAAAAATGGCTAAAAATTATTTAACAAGTTTAATATGTTTTCAAAAAAATACAAGAACCGGTTGTTGTTCATAAGTGAATATTATGTTAATGTAATTTAATGTTTTTAAAAAGAAAACAGTAGTTAAATTTATCTACTGTAAACTAAATTTAATGGGCATGTCAGAATATGATTTATCCAATATCTAAAATGGAAAAACCAAATTCTCTATTTTTGTGCAGTTACTTGACTAAAGTATGTACTTCATTAAACCCCCAAAAACGCTTTTGCCTACCCCACTGCCACCAGCTGTGTTTCTTCTCTTTTCGTTCCCTGTGTTTGTTGTGTTTGATTTTCTTTGCTTGGCTTTGTTTTTGCTTACCTGCCGGGAAGAAATTGTTCAAGAACGTTGACATTTTTCTCTCTCGCTCCCGCCTTTGCCTCTTCCTTTTTCTCTCTCCTTTTCCCGTTTCGTTACGCTTTGTTTTTGTCTTCGTTATAATATGCACTAAGTACAAAAAACTTTTTCTTGTTTTTGCTTATTTTTTTCGGTTTTTTTTCGATTTTTTTCAGTTAATAATTATTTTGTACAAAATATTGAAACAAAAATTTAAATTATACATACAATCCGCGCTTAACTGCTAAATTTCACATAACACATTTTCACATCGTACGTTTTAAATAGTTTTTTTTTTCTTTTTTTTTCAGTTTTTCACGAAAGTTTTATGCTGTTGAAATGCATTTTCGGGCAAATTATTAACAATAAAGGCGCATCGACTGCAAAATGCAAAAAAGAGAAGAATATGAAATTAGTTTAGTATTTGATGTCAAAACACGGTAAAATAAAGGCAATTTGTATTTGTTATTTGTTTTTGAAAAAAGGGCGACAAAATGAAATCGCAAAAAGCAACAGTGAGTGGGAGTGAGAGGGGTATAGAGCTGGGATTTCATTAAATTTTCCAGCGAGCGTGTGTGGGTGTATGGGGACGCTTTTTCACACATATACAGACACAATTGCGCGCATATTTGTTTTACAATTTTTCACTCTTTTTCTTCACTCTGTTTTTCATATTTTTAGAGATTTATATTTAACGCAATCCAAAACACATACACACTGAACCTAAGCCAACATATTGCCAAGTACCTTGGGTGTTTAATTGGGTAAAAACGTTCCAAGCTGCCTGGCAGATTCTAAAATTAAGGTTTTCCTTTGAAGGAGTTGGTATATTCTTTTTTCATTACCATTTTTAACAATTTTGCAAATAAGAAAAACGCAAACACACACACCGCGCGATTGGCGCTGCACGAATGAAGAAAACGCAAAAAAGATCCAACAGCCAAGCCAAATGGAGTCCACAAACGACCCCCGAGTGTTATATGTATATATATATTTTGAATGTGTGCGTTCAGGAGCTCGAATAAAAACAACAACAATTGCCAGCTGTGAGTGCAACACAGTCGTTGTGGATCTCATTTGAGGAGTGGTGGGAAATCGTCTCCGTTTAAGGAGTTACATGAGTTTAACAGCTTCATCGCATATAAAATATTTAATATTAAAAAAAACATTAAAAATTGTTTGATTTTATAAAACTTAAAAAGTTTTAAAATTTTAACCTTAATTTAAAGGACCCTTAGAAATCATTAATGCTTTTTCTAAACTGAATTGTATTTGCTAGGACTTTAAAATATTTACTTGACTGTATAATCTTAAATTTATATCTCAAAATCCGTCTTGTTTTTGTTGAAAAAAATATGCGTTTACCACGTCAAAGAAGCTTTACAACCTTTGAACAATAATAATATAAAAAGGGTTACTAAGTTTTTTGTTTCTCCAAATTTGAGACCAAACTGCTTTCTGTTACAACACAATGTGAAACCCTATTCAACTCCTTAAGTGGCCAGGATATTTTGCAGAAGCCCTAGCAATTGGCGTTGTTATACACACTGGCATATATACATATATATAGATGTGTATATCATTTAGCAGGGGGGAGTTCAACAGGACCCAACAGCTGGCCACAGGTTGCATTCCACATAGAGAAATGTAAAACCCGAGCCCCCAATACGATCCACACTCCAGCCATATTTGTGGAACGCGACAAACAGCTGGCTATGAAAAGGGAAAGAGGACGAAAAAGAGGAGGAGAAGGTAAAGGTAAGAAAGAGCAGGACAATATGAAATGGGAAGAATACACTTTTTTAGTGGGAACAGCTGTAAATAATTTAACAAATTCACTGGACAAAAATCCTTAATTTGCAAATAACGAATGTATGGTTATTATGAACGAGAAGATGTATATTGCAAAACTTGCTGTAATCAAACAAGTTTATCCTTAGATTTTCTCTATAACACCTATTACTATGAGGAACAAAACCAGAAAAAGCCATCTTACCACCTTTTTTTAAGACGCAATTTGGCCAGATTTGTTATTTACACTACACAGATAACAAACAAGTAAAGTTTATGTTTAACAAACCAATGTCTATGCTGTTTTGACTTTTTTTGTTATTTTTTTTAATTGCTGCCGCTGTTGCACACACACACAAACACAAACAATGCCACTCACACCGATGCATTACCAAAATGTCTGCTTGGAAAATTGCGTTTTTCATAGGAAAACACATGGCTTTTTCGCATTCACTGACCATTTACAGGTCGCCACCCTCACGTTTGTATTTCTTACTAATTTCTTTACAATTTACACACAAAATCAAAATAATTGTATTCTTACATGTTTTTCGTTTGCCGCACGCAGTGTGACCGCATCTCGCGAGTGACGAAATCCCTGCGGACGGAATCCAGGGCTGCTGGTTCAGTTTCAGCTTTGTCGAGTTTAGTATTGGTTAATGAAAAGCACGTTCCATGCCCGCGTAAAACCAAACAGAGAATTAAAATTTAAATTGTACATTCGACCAGTATATTTCTTTAGCTCATGTATCGGATTAGAAACTAATTAAAATTTGCTGAAACTTTTGGGCCACGAACTTTTAGACCACAAACTTTTGGGTACGAACAAAACAAATGAAAATTAACTTGTAAACGAGATTTCATTTAAAGTTTTCTTACCGTTATACAAATAAGAAAATAGGACAAAAACATTGAAATTGGGTTCTGTTCCGTATTTTAATCATTAATTCATTTGTAGTAGAATTTCATTAGAAGGTTGTGACTGCCAAACATGGTTAGCTGTGTTCTGAACCATGGATTCAATACCCGCTAGCAACAAACCAGGCCAACCACCATGTTAAAACATAAATGATAAATTTCCGTTACTTGTACTTCATATATTTGGCAGATTAGCAAACCTTTTTTACAGTGCTATAATCTAAGTACATTTTGTATTGGGTAAATAGTGCGTTATAACCTGGAAACCTGGAAACTAAGAGAGCGCTCAAGAAATGGAGTGAAAAATAACAGAATGATAAGAAAGTTAACAGTACGTAACGGTCTTCGATACTAGTTACTATCGATATAGCCGATATTTTGGAAACATCGATGACGTCGATTGTAAGGAAAATCGATGTTTATGCACCCACACCTCCTACACTTTCTAAAAACAAAAAAACTTTCTGGCGAGCGGACGTGTTAGCGGACGAAAACGTATCAGAACAGAACTATACTAGAGGGACGGCGGGGAAAGGTGGCTAAGAAAGTGCCATACGAACTGAGTGTGCGAGCGGAAGAGAGCAACTGGGTATTGTTTGTGTGTGTCTTTCAGTGTGGGTGCGTGTGGTTGAGCAAACACAACAAACATATTTCCAAGGAAGTTTCCAATTATGTCGACGGTGGAATCCTCAAGCTCGGCGGTGCAGCAGCCGCCGTCCTCGACTTTGCCTTTATTGGGCGACAACCAGGTGGTGATGCAGGCCTCCACCAGTTCTGGATCCGCCTCCTCCTCCTCTTCGGGCGGGGGCGGAAATAGTGTGGTGGGCGTGCCGCTAGACACGCAGAGCAGCGGTGAGCCGCCGGCCAAGAAACAGTTGTTGGACTCGGGGGCCACCAGCAGCAGCAGTTCACTTTCCAGTGCCGCTGCTGCGTCGGGAATGCACGAAAAGTTGGCCCACCGCATCTCCAATGCCCTGTGCTGCGCCGTGTGCCTGGATCTGCCCAAGACGGCCATGTACCAGGTGAGTTGTGGGGTTATTACAGCGAAAAAAAAACCTTCGCGTTCGAAAAAAAACAAGAAAACTTAAATATAGGAAAATGCATGTGTGTGTGCGTCATTCTGTATACAAACAAATCGTGGCAGCTCAGCTGTGAGAGTGAAATACTCCTCTCCCTCTCTCTTGCCCCCTCCTCCCACGACACACAGCTGTGCGAGAGCGAGACGGCTGGCTGGGGCTCTCTTGCATTCGCCTTGAAAACATTCAGGGAGTGCGAGGGGGAAAGGGCGTAGGGCGCACCTCGCAGCATAAGCAGAAGCAGTGCTGCGGACCCTGTCGCACTCGCACTTTCTTTCAACTAATGCAGTTTTATTGCGTTTTAGAAAACAACCCCCCAGCTTAACCGTTGCATTTCACACTATGAATTATGGCCCCCATCCCTCTTCTTCTCCCTTTCTTTTGCGCAGTAACATTTACTGCAGATTTTCTGTATTGCGTCATAGATGTTGGTATTGTGTCTTCCCCGTGGCCTATTTAAAGGAGCAACAATTTAAGATCCTAGCTTTTTATTCGTTTATTTAGTTCTTCGGATAATTCCCGCATTCCCTTTTTCATTCACACATGTGCAGGCGTCGTCATTGTTGCTGTAACTGACGTTGATTGAATTTAATGCACAAATGCACAGAGATCTCAAAGAACGGGTTGCAGGGACGTAGTCTGCACTGCGTCAAAGGGGATTTAGCTCACATAAAAATCTCATACACAGAAGTATAGATCGATATCGTAATTATAACTTTGAAGAAGATACCAGAACTTAAATTCAACATACTATTAAAATTAAAACTATAAAGTTACCAAGAAATGTCGACTACTCAGCGCATGGTGAAAGGCTGGTTTGTTGGATTGATTTGAGTGTACATAGTGTAGGTACTAAAAAAGAATACTTGAATGCACGATTACCAATAGAAATTCTTGAAGGGGGGCCCCAACCCCCTGCCTCCGCCGCTGCACAAACAGATCTTTTACGTAATGCGTATGTGTAGGTTGACACATGTTCCAAGGCAAGGCAGAAATAACTGCGTCATTGAAATTGGTTTTGTATTACGGTATAAAGAAAAATATCTGCTGACCCACACAGAAATATGAAAGTAACCTTTCTGTACCCAAAACAACGTGACCAAAACCCAAATGAATCACACAAAATGGCCAGGGATTCGCAGAAACCAGCAGAAACTATTAATTAGCTAAAAAAAAATGCCTGATTGTTTTCCTTTTTGCAGTTCCACTCTTCTTTATTTGTCTGTATGTGCAAGTGCACATACACACGCACTGCGATTTTTGCTCTCTGTTATTGTTTTGCTTTTGCCACTGCGCTGCTGTTGTTATCTCGCTCTCGCCCACGTCGTGGCAAAATCAGCTGTTTTGGGGCCCCGGGGATAAATAAGTTCAAATAGTAAAAATAAAGTATACTACTAAATTTTTGTTATTGTAAATGGCAATAGAAGGTTTTGATGAATTTGTGGAATCAGCTTGCTGCAGGTTTTTAGGACCTGTAATCTGGAATAAACTCGTTTTACCAGTTTCACAGCCACATGTGCATGTGTTGTTGGGTTCTAAAAGTGTGTGTATGTGTGGGGGGAAAGGTATACCTGAAAACACACGAGTTCTTTTCTGTCATCGTCGATCTTTTACGTGATTTCCTTTTTTACCTACGCTATTGACGTGCTCTTCCTCTTTCCACTCACTATCTACAAAAACACCATCAGCTGGTTTTGTTGTGTCTGCGTTTTTCTGCTCTGTGTGTTATTGTTTTTCAGGGGAAACGAGTTAAACTCCTTTGTGAATCCGATCCGAGGATTTTCCATTAAACAATCGGATTTTCAAGCAGCTGCTGCCTGCAGTTGGTCTAGGTCATAAATTGCCAATCAAAGAACACGAATTCACGGGTTCACTCAACTGCAAAAATACAGTAATACACTCAAATACCTAGATATATGATCCAAATACAAAAGAACACGGAAAAAAATGGAATTGAAATAGTCAAAGGATCATGTGGGGCATAAAACAACTAAATTTCAAGCACCAAACCCATGCTTATCACAACATTTGAGGTTTTGATGGTTAAAAGTACACAAAACTATTGGTATATACACTTTTGCTAATAAAAATTAAACTTTATTCAAAAATGTTGATTGTACAACTTAGTAAAAATTAAATAAAAGATAATTCGAATAATATTTATCGTAATTATACCCATTTTGGAACCAAACCTAATACAATGCTTTCTACATACTATTTGGAAATACACAAAATATGATATACAATGCACATCATTTTAGGGGAGTAATTTTGGTTTTTTCTGATTATGGTTTCATATCTCCAGAACAAAAAACATATGATATCTGTGAAACCCTTATCTATATTTATTTTTGCTTTGAAAAGATCTCAGATCCTCGTGACTATCAAAATTTTGTTATGTGCACAAGATACACAAGAAAACCATTGCTTATCGCTTGGAAGTTGCGGCTCAGTCCACAAATAGTCCCGACGGCCTATTGCTCGCCTCCTCCGGCGCTGAATATTTCCCAAAATAGATATAGAAATTCCAAAATGAGGGAAACAGCCCGCATTCCACACAACCGAATTGTAAATAAACGCATGCGGCGATTTAATGAAGGTTTCTTTGAGGGGCGGGGGTTAAATTTTACTTTAGGGCTTTACACTTTATCTGGCCGTTATCGGTCCACTATATTCCCGACCTTTCATCAATTGCTTGACCAACTCATATCCGAAAACCAATTAAAAAACACACTACGTCTTAATTGGCTTTTAACGAAAAAAAAGACAACATTTGTATGATAAAGTACGCTAAATTAAACCCAGAATTATCAACTATTTATGATTTTGATTTTTCTGCAGCCTTATTTAGATAAACTTTATCTCTCCTAATAATTAATCTTAGTTAAGACAATATCGATTTCGTAACCTTTGTAAGCACACGCAAAAAAAAAGAAACATAAGATTGTAACTATAAATGCTAAGTACATAGAACAGATTTCATAATAGCATTAAAGTTAAACCCTAAAATGTATCTAAAACCCAAAAAAAAAAAACCAAAAAATGAAACGAAAAACTGAATTCAATAAATTTGCAAAGGAGAGTGCAAACTTGAGAATGCAAAATAAAACCAAACTACAACATAGCGTTTTTATTTCAACCAAAACAAAAAAATAATACACAAACCGGAGCCTCTAAGCTAAACATTTTCAAACCTCACTTCAGATCACCTCCCGCCGAGAAATCCATGCCTCACCACCTTCCTCACCCCAAAAGGCATATTCAAAATAGATTCATTCATTCAAACACACCCACCCAGAAATTACCCCACACCCATAAATACAAACTCTCTGCAACAAGGCCGTATTTTGACTAATAGAAAACTTTTCTTCTTTTTTCTTTAATTGCAGGTTAATTTTCATTCCACTTTTGTTTTAGTTTTCAATCTCTATCCATCTACTAGTCGATTGTTTAGTCGTGAATTTACTAAAACTGCATTTCCCTTTCTCTCTGCTCTTTTCATTTTCAGTGCCAGATGGGTCACTTGATGTGCGCCGCCTGTTTCACCCATCTTCTGGCGGATGGACGGTATGAATTCACTCTAAAAAAAAAAAATAAGAACCTTGCAAAGACTTCTATTACATTGCATCTAACTATATACCGTTTTTTACCTTTTTCAAATATGTTTTAAAATACAATTTTTCTTTAGCCTGCGAGATCAAATTGCCACTTGCCCCAATTGTCGCGTGGAAATATCAAAGAGCACTGCTTCGCGAAATTTGGCTGTGGAGAAGGCCGCTTCAGAATTGCCCAGCGAGTGTCAGGTGAGCTCTATAATATTCGTAGGTCAATTCAATGTCAATTAACTGGCTTTATTCTACAGTTTTGCAACAAGGAGTTCCCTTACAAATCTCTTGAACGCCATGAACAACACGAGTGCCAGGAGCGCCCCACCAAATGCAAATATCATCGCATTGGCTGCCAGTGGCGTGGACCCTTTCATGAGAGTAAGTGACCCTTGTGAAATGTAATGAACAACCCGTATAACCCGTACTAATCCTTTTAATATTTAGCTAACGAACACGAGCGCAACTGCTTGCATCCCCAGAAGTCTGGCTACGAAGTAATGGCGGCCCTGGAGGCCCACGATGACAGGATCAAGGAGGAGAAAAAGATGTTCAACACTCTGATTGACTTGCTAAGCTACGAAAAGATCATTTTCAATGGTGAGACATTCTTGCTTACTGAATTTTAATGTTCATTGAAATTAAGATGAATTGTTCATGGTTATTGTCATAGAAGTCATGCTGGAATGCGGGCGGTAAAAAGAGGTTTATGGTTGAGGGTTGACAAATGGAATTCTTATGTGGTGATCTTGATAGGCATATGTATGTGAAGTCAGGGACTGAACATATTCACTATTTGAGATCTTTACAAAGTAATATTTTTATACCCTTGCAGAGGGTATTATAATTTTGGTCAAAAGTGTGCAACGCAGTGAAGGAGGCATCTCCGACCCTATAAAGTATATATATTCTTGATCAGGATCACCTCCTGAGTTGATATAGCCATGTCCGTCTGTCCGTCTGTCCGTCTGTCTGTTTCTACGCAAACTAGTCTCTCAGTTTTAAAGCTATCGAATTGAAACTTTGCACACACCCTTCTTTTCTTTGCACGCAGTATATAAGTCGGAACGGCCGGGATCGGCCGACTATATCCTATAGCTGCCATATAACTGATTGATCGGAAATGCCATAACTTTGGTGTTTGTAAAGTTAGGAAGTTGGGATTTGCTATGGGTTTTATATTTGGCCAATCAATCCGACCTACCAAATTTCATAAGGATCGGCCGACTATATACTATAGCTGCCATATAACTGAACGATTGGAAATGCCATAACTTTGGTGTTTTTAAAGTTAGGAAGCTTGGATTTTTTATGAGTATTAAGAATGCATCATATAAATAATTTTGGAGAATATAATTTACAGAGTATTCTGCAAGGGTATATCAACTTCGGCTCCGCCCGAAGTTAGCTTTCCTTTCTTGTTAAAATAAAAGTCTTAAAAAAACACTATTAGTTTGCTTAAACTCAAGTTCGTTGTTTATTTTACCTCTTGCAGATCTTCAGATGAAACCCTACCGGACGGACGAGTACGTACACAAGCTTTTCTACGAGACCGCCCGCTTTTCGGCTTTCAACCAGCAGTGGGTGGTAAAGGCACGCATCAACAATAGCCAGCGCGATCCTCACCAGTCGAACGAGCGGACCATAACCTATCAGCTGATCCTAAAGACCAAGACCAGCACGCCCATGAGCATACATTTTTTCGCGCTGAAGGGTCCCTTTTCTGATATGAAGGTCTCCACGCAGATTTACAAGCACGAGTTCACTGAAACGGTAAGTTATAGAAGTTCTGAAATGAATTCCCCTATTTGTTAACGTCTTCGTCTTTTTAGAGTACCGAAAGTGAGTATTATGTTTTGCCACTACCAGATGGCATCGGGGGTACCGGCTCAAGTGAATGTAACAGAATGCTGGCCAATAAAGGCATTAACTTCCGGTGAGTAACCTTGAAATGCCTTCTGGAAATTCAATCTAATAACAATCTCCCCTTGCAGCCTGCTCATGTTTCTGCTGAACAAGTAAACACAATTACACTGTGCAGACGATTAAGATTTTCAAATTAGTTTAAGTTTGTTGTTTCAAACTCTTGAATGTGCAAAACCTAGACATAGTTGTCTTATATTTTCTATATATGTATATGTATAACTTCGAAACGGAAACCACGAGCCTAGCCTAACAGAGTCCCGCTCCCCGCGAACCCACAACCCGCTCACAGAAACGTCGTATATTTCAATCATGTCCCCGATAACGCAGACGTAACGCGGAAGGTTGTAACCTAAGTTTATAGTAGACTCGACTACATTTTGTACATGAGATAATGCCATTTTATGGAGACACTTTTCAATAGCTATGTTAAATTTGCTGTTAGTGCTGGTGGCGAAATGGAATCGATTGATGGACAAGACGGCCGATGTGTTTGACTAACGATTTAATGATCTCACAGGAAGGAGCCAGCCCACGCTAACCCGATAATACCGATAATAACCATAAACTAGCTGTAGATTAACTGTCAGGACGCAAGGACCTCGAGTCCACGGCTCCGTTTTCACTGTAAGAAGAACAACACCAAGTTGAAGTTCGAACCCTTAGCAGGCGCAAATATAGCGATCTACTATATTATGTAGCTCTAGAATATTACGATCACATAGCCCGGGACAAAGCAAAAACACCCAAAAAAAAATCGAGTCCTCACGTTCAAATCTTGTCTAATCCTCGTTCTGTTGACCCTCTTACGATTTAATGCTTACAATTTACATTCGTATGTGTAATATTTATATGCATCGTTAAATGATAACTATACCTAATGCAGATATAATAAAGATACTTCTTAATAAAAAAAATCGTTTTTCTGAAGATTGGAAAGTTGAAAAATATAAAATATAAATAATTTATCAGGACTGATTGTTGTAATGGTATTACTTACGGCTATGTTTTCAAATCTAAATTTAAATGGTCAAAATTATTCAATTTAATTTAAAAGTTGGTTCTAAGAAATGAAAAACAAGATATTCTTGATATATTTATATTTTAAAGATATATCTTAAAAGATAAAAAGTTTATATTTTCTGGCATCTTGAAATAGTCATAATCTTCTATACTATATTGAAAAGTATTTCTTAAAATATAAATTTTTAACAAAAGGCAGCATATTAATTATAGCTCTATTCGTCGTTGTCCTCTTCCATCGCCTGGTACTTGTTGCGCACATGGGAGGCGATGACTTCGCGGGGGTTCTTCTTGAAGTTCTTGTCCTTGATGAGCTTCTCGAAGGATTTGACGCGGTTAACCATGTCCGTGCGCTTTTTCCGAATCTTCTCGTTGGCACTTAAAAGGACTTCCGGTTCGGCGAGAGCTGTCTGTTCGCTGGCATCCTTTTGCTTGGTTTTCACCAATTTGTAGATGTCCTGCAGGGAAGGTAGTGCATCCCGGAGTGGCTTAAGGTCCCCAATGACCGCGGTCTTCTCGCGATTCTTGCGCGCCTGCTCCTCCTTGCGTACCTTTCGCGTTTCGGCGAAGCGGTTAAGAAGTTTCTTGTGCTTCGCCTCCGATTTCTCCTTCTTAGTAGTCGTTTTTTTGGGCGTGAGAGTCTTGTGCAGCAGTTTGTCCTTGCGCCAATTCGCCTGCATGTCCTGCGCCTTCTGCTTGGCCGCTCCCACAACGCTCTTGGCCTTGGCCCTCACATTTCGCTTGGTTTTGGCCATTCCACTGTCAATAAAATCAAAACAAACGTGCAGCGTGCTGAATTTCAAAGTCAATGTTGTCCCACCTGTGCAACCCTGTTATCGTTATCGGTTTCTTTTATAAAAAGTAGCCAAATACGGTAGAAAAATAGCTATAAATAGATTTTTGGAAAATTCTTCTAAGGAATATATAACTTCATTAGAGTTTTGGGAATTACGACCACCTTCCCACCATGTAACCAATTTGTCACACAAAAAATTCAAAGAGTACATCGAACTAATCATCACTAATTAAAGTTTGTTCAATGTGTTGTACTAGCTTTCCAAAAATAAACATATGAATTCACTGAATATTTTTCCAAAGCGCCGTTTCCACCTCTCATGTTTCTATTAAAAGTTTACTGGTTTTATATATGTACTTTATTAGTTCTATTGCTTTTAACATTGTTAATGCTTTTATTTATAACACTTTTTAGGGCAAAATATATAATAATAATTTTGTTTACAATTTTGTCTTAACTTGCTAGACTTTTAAGTGTTTAAATAAAAAAGTTTTAGAAAATTTTCCTGAATCATTAATTAAGAGATCAGATAAATTATATATTTGGGGGATTATTACATTGGGAAAATTATTATATGTAAATAGTTTTGAGGGCTTTTCAACGGCTTTTCTCTGTAAATAAAAATACACACCAGAGAAAATTTTGAAAATACTGTATTTATGGCTAGGTTTTAAAACACTGAACTATTTTGATTCTTAATATAATCATATTAATATTAATGTGTTTTAAATTTACAAAATACAACTAGGATGAAAATGGCAGATCCTCCATCCCTGGTTATATCTTTGTTATCGGTTATCGCCGGACAGCTGACTGGCGGCATTCGAATTTATAACAATTTGCATATTTGTTACTTTTTTGCGAAATGGACTACGATTTCAAGATGAAAACGCAAATTGAGCGTACAAAAGTGGAGGACCTGTTCAACTACGAGGGCTGCAAGGTGGGGCGTGGCACCTACGGTCACGTCTATAAGGCGAAATGGAAGGAGACAAGGTAAGCTGGTCAATTCGGTGATCGAAATAATATAATTGTTAATTCCCCACTTCTCAGCGATGGCAAGGAGTACGCTTTGAAGCAGATCGACGGCACTGGGCTGTCCATGTCCGCCTGCCGTGAGATCGCCTTGCTGCGCGAACTGAAGCACCAGAACGTGATAACCCTTATCCGAGTGTTCCTGTCCCACAACGATCGGAAAGTGTTCCTGCTGATCGACTACGCGGAACACGATCTCTGGCACATAATCAAGTTCCATCGGGCGGCCAAGGCCACCAAGAAACAGGTGGTGGTTCCCCGAGGCATGGTAAAGAGTCTACTATACCAGATCCTGGACGGGATTCACTACCTGCACAGTAATTGGGTGCTGCATCGCGATCTAAAGCCCGCTAACATCCTTGTGATGGGCGATGGCAACGAGAGGGGTCGCGTGAAGATAGCCGACATGGGATTCGCCCGTCTGTTTAATGCCCCACTGAAGCCGTTAGCAGATCTAGATCCTGTAGTGGTCACCTTTTGGTATCGCGCTCCAGAACTGCTGCTCGGAGCTCGCCATTACACCAAGGCCATCGACATCTGGGCCATTGGCTGCATCTTCGCCGAGTTATTAACCTCAGAGCCCATCTTTCACTGCCGCCAGGAGGACATCAAGACCAGCAATCCGTACCACCACGATCAACTAGACCGCATCTTCAATGTGATGGGCTTTCCACAGGACAAGGACTGGGAGGACATCAAAAAGATGCCGGAACATCACACGCTAACCAAGGACTTTAAACGTTCCACTTACTCCACCTGTTCGCTGGCCAAGTACATGGAGCGACACAAGATCAAGCCGGACAGCAAAGCGTTCCATCTGCTGCAGAAGCTGCTGCTAATGGATCCCAACAAGCGAATCACCTCCGAACAGGCCATGCAGGATCAGTACTTCCAGGAGGAGCCGCTGCCCACGCAGGACGTGTTTGCCGGCTGCCCCATACCGTATCCCAAGCGCGAGTTCCTCACGGACGACGATCAGGAGGACAAGTCGGACAACAAGCGCCAGCAGCAACAGCAACAGCAGCAACAACAACAGCAGCAGCAGCAACAACAAATGAATGCCGAGCCGAATGCCAAGAGGGTTAGATTGTCTGGGGCTGGAAACCAGCAGGATTTCCACCATCAGCAGCAGCAGGCCCAGCAGCAACAGCAACAACAGCAGCAGCAACAAATGATGTTCAACCAGCAGCAAAACTTCCAGCAGCGATTCAACTGAGAGACTGAGAAAGGCAGCATTTTTTCTACCACTTCTACTGCAACATAGCCTTCTAAGTATTTAATGACCGTAGCGCTTAAGACATACAAACAATTAAAGTGTAACATACACAAACTAGTACCACTCGCTGAAACGAGCTATTGCTTGGACCCACTTGTCCATCCGGTTGGCTACGGTGTCGTATTCCTTGGCGCGCGGTTCAAAGACCCGTTCCACCTGCCGGAAACACTTGAGATCCTCCACATTGCGCCAAATGCCGTGGTTAATGCCAGCCATAAATGTGGCGCCCATTATGCTGCTCTCTGCGTTCTCGGCGCGCTCTACACTCAGCTGGCTGAGATCGGCAAGGAATTGGCAGACGAAGTCATTGCGGGAGACGCCGCCATCAACCCTGAAAGTTTGAGGTAGTAAAATTTGATCATTAAGTCAGTAATTTTAATATTTAAATTAGCAACCGGTTAATTATATGATATTTGTCAGTATTTTATGGTTATAATTTGCTTATTATTATTGTCCATTAACAAATAATGTTCTGAGAAGGTTTTAACCCAAGCCTAAGGTATAATAACATCAATAAGATCATATTAAAATATGTTTCTAACTAGAATACTATAGACTTGGGCAGATTTCTTTCATATATGATATATAAGTAAACATATATATATATTTCATTGATTTACCTAATCATTTGAAGCTTTTGAGAGGTTTCATTTTCAGCAGACTCGATTAGTTGCACCAGGCGAAAGACTATGCTCTCGAGCAGGGCCCTAACCATGTGGGCTTTTGTGGTAGATGGACTGAGGCCAATGAAGCCACTTGCCGACCGATAGTCGTTCACCGGGGGCTAACAGAGATAAGATGAGGATTAGTTAATCTCAGACTGGTCACAACTGCTAATAAAACTTACCCCCAGGCCACTGAAGGCGGGCATAAAAAATACACCATTTGTGTCTGAAACAGACTCTGCAATATCTGATGTATCCGCAGGATTCTCGAAGAGCTCGCAGGATTGCGCCCAGGTAACTACGGTGCCAAAGTCATGGGAGGCTCCCTCGATGCAGTAGACGGCTCCTTGGTGCTTCGCTTGGCTTTTGATCTGCCACGCAACCAGGGGGTACATTCCAGAGATGGCAGCATGACACCGGTCGCCCGTGATCAGATTCAAAAACGCTCCTGTGCCCATGGTTACCTTGACGTCGTTATTCTTGAAACACTGTGAACCCCACATGGCAGCCGTTTGATCACTAAGAGAAGCTGCAATGGGAATCTTTGTGTTGGCCCAATCTGGACCCAAGGCAGTTGGATGCACTTGCCCGAAACCCCTGTAGGCATTGTCAACCACACGCGGCAGGATTTTGGACTGGAATGCAAGCTTATAAGATCATTTTTGGATTAAAAAGGACATAAAAAACTTACGTTAATGCCAAAGAGCCAACTTATAAGAGGAGACCAGCTGAGCGTGAAGGGATCGTACAAGCCCGTCGCCGTACTTGAGGTTACATCGGTTATGTGCTCTACATCCTTATCACGGCTGCTGCCAGTTTTTAGTTTGTGCAGGATCCACGAGTCCAGGAGCTCCACACGAGCCTTTTGCTGTATCAGAGCTTGTTTTAATTTCTTGTTGTGCATTATCTCAAAGAGCAGTCTTGGCGTGACTTGGCCATTCATCAGTTTAAGGACACTTCCTGCGAGGAATCTCGATTGACGGGTGACTAGGAATAAGGCATACGAAAACCAATTCATGGAGCTCTTCGTCCAGCTAGCATTCCACTGCTCCACCAGTTCATCGGCGCGCAGGTCCTTCCAGGTGATAAAATTGTGGTAGTACTCGCCACTGCGGTGATCCCAGGTAAGAAAGGTACAGCGCTGAGTGGAGATGGTCATGCAAGTGATTTCCAAGGGCGTCAGCTTGGCCTCTGCAAATTATATTTTATAAACATTTTTAAAATTATAGAATAGGTATTTATCCTTTTTAATTAGGTTAACTAATAGGAAAGTTTTAATTAAAATTATTTGTGAACTTTGATCCATTTGTAATAGCTTTTTATCCAACGTTTTTCTAAACGACTTTTGGAATGGCTATCAAATAAACCGATTAAAGCTCGTATTAAACCTGTTGGCGGTTTTATGGTATCCGAAACTCACCCTTTACCGCCCGACTTATAACATTCACAATTTTACGCCACAAGCTCTCCGGTTCGATTTCGAAATAGCCCGGCTGTGGGTTCAGTAGTTCCACCTAATTGCGCCAAAGGTCGTAAAGGTATTTAGTTAATTAACTTTGCCCCATGGGTCACTTGAAGATCGAATCACTTACGGCATCCACCGCCGATCCCCTGACCACACATCGCTCGTCCAGCACGAAGCACCTCACACAGGTGGTGCCCACATCCAAGGCGGCAATGTAGGCGGGTGATCCTGACCCTGAATCCCCTGGGGATTCCGAATCCTGAGGAGCTCCTGCTGATTTTGACGCGACATTTGAAGGCGCTGACATGTTTCGTAGCGCACGCTTCGTCGATCACTGGCTTTTGGACGCTGTTACTCCGAACTGGCGAACCGACTTATCCATTTCGCTGCTGTTATTGCTATTGTTATTGTTTTGGCGAGGTCTCATATTTCTCGGTTTCCTTATCAAGTGCTCGACTTTGTTTTTGTGTTTCCAGATGATAACCACTCGGCGCCAGGGCTGTCACCTACTTTCCTGGAAGCCAACTAGAAATTAAGCTAGAAAAAAGCTAAAGCCTAGTATCCACTTCGACGTAAACCGTACGCCAGTCATGAGAGAGAGCGAGAGGCAAACAGCTGGCGTTCACTTTTCGTCGGGCCTTTTTTTCACTTCGGTCTCCTGATCGACGAAAAAAATACCAGAAAATTGCATAGCGTTGCCAGTCTGCGGAAATGAACTTTGGGTGAACCCTAGCGGAAAGATTAAAAAATTTAATCTTTTGGCGTGCGCTTCTCACTGAACATTATAAGAAATGGAGGGAAAAACTCAAAAAACTCACAAAAGTCGATTGCAGGTGTTTACATGTGAGGACAAAATAACATTAATACTATCTGGGGTGCCTCTTGTCAGAGCAAAATGTTTTTTAGGTCCAGAATGTACGAAAAAATACAATAAATGTGCAGCTATGAACTTTAAATTAGCAAATAATTATCATAAAATTAAAAAAAAACAACTGTTAAATTTAAATTGTATTGTTTTTTAACTTCTTTGTACAGCGGCAGACTTGTCTTGCCAAGGTATTTGATAATATCTTTTAAAGGCTCTTTCCCGCAAATACGATATTTGAATTTTAACTGCTTGTCAACAAACCCAGCTGATTGTCAGTACGACCGTAGCACGCTTAAATCCGATGAACTCTCGAAATTTTGGTCACACTGGAAAGATTAAAGTTTTTACGCTAGCATACTCGTTTGTCGATCTGGATACTAGGCTTAAAGGATTTCATCTCAGACTAAGGCATGATAATAAAAACATTAAAGAAATAAATAATATAAAATAATATAGTTGTATATCTTTTAAGCACAAAGGAAAGACAAGTTTAAATCACTGAACAGAAATATAATTACTTTAGTTCGAATATGGAGAAAATATTTTTTAGTCTAACCAGTGTTGCTTAACACTTTAAAGCAATTAACTTATTGTTATCGCAGCGACAGCCCTAATCGGCGCAAATTTCAAATCAACAATTTTTTGATAGGAGTACTACAACGAATCGTTTTGGATTATGATTCTTATCACTTGTCAAATGATAAGCCTTCTAAAATTAGAGCACTATCGACCCGCCCCACAAAACGATTATTCACGTGTGTCGTGCATCATCACCCTCTAATCTTAACGACGTATTTTTTACAACTTTATTTGCTGTACAGATAGACACTTGCATATATATGTATACATATAGGTACGAATTCAGGTATATAGATACTACACATACAAGATAAACCTTTATCTAAAATAGTTAGCATTGTATTAATGGTGTGTCCAATAAAATACATTTTACAATCAACTTGTTAAACACATCGATTTTCACATAGAGTAGCAGCCTCCTTGCGAACTTAAAACTTAGGTACTGTTTTCGGTTTTCTTTTTGGAGATATGTCTACACCTAACTGGAGCTCCATTTAATGCTGATTTCGAGGCGGTAGCCTTACATGTCCGTTGGCAGGATGTCAGGGATGAGGTACTGGCACAGCTCGACCTCATCGCCCACAAACTTCACCTTCTTGGCGGTGTTATCGTCCAACAGCACACGAATGGCCGGAAAAATAGTCGAGAACAGCGCCGGCGAATTGATGATCAGGCAGACGCCCAGACGCTCCGGAAAGTGCTTGCTCAGCAGCCAGATGAGATTCTGCACTAGCTGATAGTCCATGCAGCTAGTGCTAAACTCCGCCAAATCGAAGACGATGCATAGGCGGTCGGTGACCTCCTCGAAGCACTTCTTGCAAGCCTCCTCCAGGTTGTAGACGATAAAGCGAGTCAGCTCGTCGATGTCCCGCTCCGAGCTGTGGTTCTTGGCCGGAATGTAGATCACCGGGCGGCCGATGCAGTCACGATGGCGCAGCAGGCGTGCCTTTTTGTCCAGCTGGCTGCGGTCCATCTTGGATAGCTCGTCCACTCCGTACGTCTCGCGCCATTTGTTGGTCTTCAGGATGGCCTGCGGTGGGTATATATATTTAGTCGAAGTTAATTAAGAATATAAGGCCTTAATCTTTTAACCAGAGTTTTATCATTGCCATAATCAGGAGATCCATATATTTTCTGTTACGATTTGCAGTACATCAAATCTTTAGGTCATTTATAAACCTCTAATTCCAATAAGATATGACGTACATGCAAATCCTTTTCAATTTTATAAAACATCTGGAACATACTTGGCTATTTAAATTGTATTGCAATTTAATTTATGTATTTTCCTTATGGAAAGAAATTTAACCACTGAAGGTACCAAACTTTTTATATCAAACGTGATAAGGGCTTTTTAATACACTTTTTAATACGTTGTGTAAATGATTTTATCAACTGAAGGTCAGATTCAGACTCTTATTAGCCCACGAATGCTATGGAAAATAGATACAGATACTTGCTGGAAGGGTGTTCTAAGCTTAGGTTCTATAGCTTTTCAGATGGTCAAATTCATGGTTTTTATTTACGCATCGCTTACCTGGAATGCGTCATCTGTGGTCTTAAAAGCGCGCAGATAGCGCCGAAGCGAAAATTCGTTATGATATTGCTTCGGATCTGCCTCCACAATCAATTTCATGCGCTCCTTCAGATCCTTAAGGTCCTGCTCGTTAATTGGCGCCAGCTCCTCGGACGACATATTGCAGTGCTTAAAGCAGATCTCGATGGGAAATACAATGCGATTCCGTGCTAGAGAGCCTCGGATTTAGAACGGATTGTGCTGACACTGTCTAAATTGCAAGCTGAGGTGTTTATTTTCTGAAATTTTTTTCACAAGCAGAACGGATTTGTTTTTTCTTTTTCTGCTTAATGTGACCGACTCAGTCTCAGTAAAAAATACATACTAAAATTTAAAAAATACCATATATTACCGTTAATTCGCATGCTCGTTAAATTTAAATTGAAACTTTAAAGATAAACAACTTGTAAGCACTACTTTTAATTTCAAAAAGATATAAAACGAAAGTTCAATGATCAAAAAACCCGTTTGACAAAGTCAATTTTTGTTTATATTTTTTGCCACTTGTCGTTTGTGAATATCCATTTCGCTATTAATTCCGGTTCTATTTTATCTATCTTTGAAAGTAAAAGAAAATCATTATTTTAAGCTCAAAGATTTTATTCACTCATTTTACTTGTACCTTAAAAATTTTTAAGGCTTACTTTAGTTGTAAAGATTTTTTTTTAATATTGTGAAATTTAAAAAATGCATCCTTTTGATTTAAAGGTATTTCGCAGAACCATAAATTAGTTGAAGCATATTTAAAGGTTTTCTTCATGATGTACTAGTTTTCCGAAAAACTAAATTAAATTAAGAAACACTTTTTAATATTGAAAAAAAAAACAGACATCAAAAATCAAAAAATGTACATGCACTTCATCTGGCATATTTATATACAGTTTTATATTTCGTAAATAACTGCAGTAATTATAAAAAAAAGGTTAACAATACATGATTGGTTGGCATAAGCAAGCCACAAAAGAATACAAAATTCGCAGAATGCACAACTCTCTCAACTCAGCCATTTTTGGCCCTAAGTATTAGCTACAAATGCAGAGATTCCTAAATTGAGATTTCTATTGCTTGATGGTCTTCAGCCTCTCGGGCCCATTTCTTCGTCCTCCTCCTACTTGGGCACCATGACGCGGGCTATGCCCGGCAGGACCTCCGCTTGGAGGGGTCCAAACTCGACCCTTTCCCCGTCGACCGTGATGATGCCGTGATTGTCGTGTGGCTCCAGGCGGAATGCCTTCACTGGCAGCACCTTCACGTATTCGTTGTTCACCTCCGGCAGGTGGGTGCCCGAGCTCATATTATAGAGGAAGCTCAGCAGGTGCGGCCGACTGATGCCGGCGCGTATGAGGATCAGGTAAATGGTGCCGTCGTTCAGCTGGGCCTTGGGCGCAAAATGGCAGTCGATGCCCAGATGCGTCTGATAGACGGCGTGCATCATCACGAACTCGCCCTCCTCCACCATCCAGCCCTGATTCTCGGGCAGGGGATCGGCCAGATCAGGCAGTTCGCTCGTCGGCCCGTAATTCAGCTGCCTGTTCTCCAGCGAGGCGGTCGCCAATCCAGTGAATTCACTCTCATCCGCCAGACTGTGGTAGATGCTCTCCGATATGGAATAGTAGAAGCTGCGTCGCGATCCTCCGGACAGCCAGCTGTCGCATCTGGAGCGGAACGACTGATTGATGGACGTCTCCAGGGATATAACGTCCGCAAACTCCTGCGGCAGATACTCGGCACTGGAATGATAGCTGGGTGCCGGCCCTGTCAGCATGTCGATGTGTGTGTTGCAGCTCCGGCTGCCCTGCATCCTCCGCTGGCCAGCATAGCCGGAGTGGCTCTGTGTCGAGGAGTCCTGCTGCTCCGTCGGCAAATAGCTGATCCGGCCGTTGTAGGTGCGCAGATTCACCAGACGGTACAGTGTCCAGATGGTGAAACGCTGGTAGCCAAGCAGCCGGATGCGCTCGCTCTCGATGTCCACGTCCGAGATCAGACCCCAGCCGATGGACAGGAAGGAGTAGAGGGAGCGATTCTGAAGCTGCACGCGAACCACATCCATCGGAGAACTGCGTCCACTGATTACGGTGAGTGCAGCTCCTAGCACTGGTTTGCTGAAGTACGGTTCACTGTGAGAAAAAAAACCGATTATTAAATTTTTCAAAAAAGAAATATGCGTTGGGTTTTATTCCTGTTTTCACTCTTGATTTCTTAATTAAGCCTTTTTATACCCGCTAATCGTCCGGTAATTGTTTAACTATTGGTAAACGGAAATTGTGGCAATTAAATTTTAAGGGACTCATTAACATGAATGGCAATATTTTAAAGATTATGTCGATGATAACTAACATGGGGAATTTTTTTTACCCATATAGACGTCATTTAACAGCCCAACCTGAGAAAGGGGCTTTAAAGAATGAGTAAATCGTAGATACACAATTTCCGGGAAATTGGGGAAATGTGATAAGCTTCGAGCAACGGCTCCATGGAAAATGGAAAGTGAAAACTAGGATGAATAATTTGAATAAATAAGAAACTGAGAAAACCTACTTGTAGCAATGCGCTATAGACCTGGCCAGTCCATTTCCAGAACCGCAGGGAATGATGCCGAGTGCCAGATGGGGCAGGACGTGGGCCCAATCCTGGCGCTGCAGGAGTCCATTGACTATCTCGTGGAAGAGGCCATCTCCACCGACGGCCACCACGCAGCACCAGGCGTCCAGACACCTCGTGCTCATGAATTCAATCGCAAAATTGGAATGTTTGGTCACGTACAGGTCGTAGGGTACCTCGGCTTCATTGAGAACTGGTGTCACGTGCATATTAAAAACCTCGCGGGCATCACCGGAACCAGATTTCGGATTTAGCAGTACCAGAACCCTCCGACGTCGCTCATCCGCCGTGGGCGCTACAAAGATCTCCTCCAGCGTGCGGTGCAGCTGCCAGCGGAGGGATCGATACCACCGGTCCGCTTCCCTCATATTGTCCTCGAAGGTGTCGAAGGATCTGAAGCGCAGGGTGAGCACTGTTCGCTCCCTGTGCAACTCCGTGCGGAGGCTCCTCTTTTTCAGGACATAGGCAAATACGTAGAGAAAGGCGCTGACATCGCCACCATCCAATGGAAGATTCTCCCGGCTGTTGGTACTGCACTTACTGGGCGTGGTGGTCGGGCGATGGTGATCCCCGGAGGCCGAAATGGCCGGGGAGTTGCCAGAACTGCACGCACAGGCTCCGGACATGGCCAAACGTCGCGATTTCTTGGGACGCATACACCGGGCACCCACTATGTCCCCGATCCGCACCTGCTGCTCCTTGATGATGCTGCCGGTAGGCGATTCCCGTTGCAGGGTGAATCCTGTGGCGTCCAGGCGAACCCGGAATACGTGGCTGCCCTTCTTGCGCTGACTCGTGTAGAAGGTGTCGCTCACGTCGTGGCCCTCATCCGCATCCGCCTCCTCCGGCCCTGAGGGCGTGGCCCTGGAACTGGCCGAACTCGGGCTGGTGGTCTTATCAAGAGATTCGCTCATTTCGACTGGAGATTCGGCTGCCAAGCAGCATGTTTCAGAAGTTTTTAGGCACAGTTTTTTATGGCTCCCTTATCACAATCATGGCAGCAGTGTGACCGTATACGAAAGGCACAAAAATACCAACTAACACAAAGGAACTGAAGATCCTTTGAAAAATACCAACCTTAGCTTATAAAGCCGTTTAATCCGGATTACTTCTTTGTAAAATGAATATGATAATAGGGAGACAATGTATGACGTATTGAATTCAAATTCGATTTTACCCAATTCTATATTCGAAATATCTCGATGCCGATGCACTAATGCACTCACGAAAAATACTTCACCCTAAAATTAAGTATTTTTCGTGAGGTGCATTGGTGCATCGACATCGAGATATTTTGGCGTTCGCCACACGGTCACACAATTATTAGTGTTTTGTGAATTGCTCCACAATCAAATCCAGACTTAAATTGCTATAAAAGATGATGCAAATGAGCGAGTACAAGGTGGTGCCGCAGAATGCGCCGCAGGACGACACTGTGGTTTGCCAGCCGCAGGCGGTGATTCCCGGAAATAATGCAAATGGAGCTGGTGCGTAGATATATATGGATTAATCCCACGGAGGAATTCCATCACACAGATGGCCGTTTTAAGATGCGCCCTGTGTTTGTGTGGGCGTGTGCAAAAAGGTGGAACCGCATTCTCCTTTTTCTTGGCATTTCCTACAGCAGCGGTCAAAAATATAGCTCTCAAGATCTAGTCCTTGGAGGCTTAACTTCCGGCCTATATTATAAATCAATATAACTTCAAGTGGGGATCCGCTAAAAAAATTGAATGGCAAATTTTGTTATTTTAAGATTAATTATTGCGTTTGAAATAGCATTATCAATTACTCACTATCAATTAGTCACACTTTGTGAACTTTAAAAACCACGATTTGCTATAATGTTAAAAAAAATAAATAAAATACACTTTTGTACAACCTTTTTAAAATTTAAATATCTTACAAACAAATCATGGCTCGTAATGGGTGTAAATATTAACAAAAAATATCGTATTCATTGACTTGACCGCTACTGTACCTATGCTAATTTTCCTTGCACATACATATAGTAGGCAGAATATATTTAGAGCTTATCTGAAACTACGCCCCGTTGCAGAGAACTGGATGTCGATACCGGTGGGCATGCCCAACTGCCCGCAGGGCCTCGAATACTTGACCGCCCTGGACCAGCTGCTCGTTTCGCAGAAGATCGAGAAACTGGAGCTGATCACCGGCTTCGAGACAAAGAATCGCTTCAAGGTTAAGAATTCACTGGGCCAGAACGTCTACTTCGCGTACGAGGAGAGCGACTGCTGCACCCGGAACATGCTCGGCAGGTCGCGTCCGTTCGAGATGAAGATCCTGGACAACTTCCAGAACGAGGTGCTCCATCTGTACCGGCCATTTAAGTGCGACATCCTCTGCTGTATCCCCAGCTGCATGAACGCCGTGGAGGTGTCCGCTCCGCCGGGCCAGGTGATCGGAAGCGTGGAGCAGGTTTGCACCTTCTTGCGCCCCAAGTTCAACATCAAAAACAACTGCGGCGACACCGTCCTGCAAATCGAGGGACCCCTCTGCCCCTGCAAGTGCTTCAGCGACACCAACTTCAAGGTCAGTGTGCGGCCAACAAGTGGTTATTCGCGTGCCTCGATCGAGATTCCCATATTCAAACAAGTATACACACACAGCAGCGGGAAGCAGAGTAGCAACGGGGGAGCATGCTTTAATCATATAAACCCATCAGCTATTCAAAAGACCCATACCCTTATTCATTCACATATAAGTGCTGTTAGCTATTTTTAAAATGTTAATACTTTTTGATTAGAAATTCATTTAAACAAGTACAAAAAAATGCCATTGACACAAAAGCTGGAAAATGAATAGTACCCAAGACAAGTTATATTTTGCTGACAATTTAAATCACTAAAAAGGGGATTTTAACTTCATCTCTATATTTTAAAATTCCCCAGCTTATCGTCTTTGTTAAAAGATAAGAGTCTTTAAAAATACTCTGTTTTAAAATAGCTCTAATCAGACACAGGCTTAAACGAAAACTGAAAGTATATTTTGATTTGGTAAGATTTTGTATGCTTTTGATCAGTAATACTATTTTTTGGATAGTTAATGTTTTTATCATTTTATCACTTTTTTATGAGTAGTGGATTTCATATTTTACTGACCGCCACTGTCTGGTTCATATAAATATCAAGCGACTGCAGTCCGAGACAGTGACGTCATGGGTCGCTATGCTTGAATGTCCAGAGCGAGTCAATTAATTCCGATACTGCGAATTATGTGTGTGTGCGAGTCGAATTCCGTCCCGATCAATGTTAAACACAAACATCTCTCGCCTTTTTACTCGATTGTAGGTATTGAGCGCCAATAATGAGGAGGTCGGAAAAATAAGCAAACAATGGTCTGGATTGGGCAGGGAGCTGTTCACCGATGCGGATTACTTCAGCGTCACCTTCCCCCTGAATCTGGATGTTCGCATGAAGGCACTTATATTCGCAGCGCTCTTTTTGATTGTGAGTATATGAGAAAATATCACGAATAAACTCTTTGTTAACTTTTCATCTATAAGAATATTATCATATGAATCAGAATGATGTGAATGAAGGAAAGAAGGGAAAATAATTGATATAATGCAGATGACTAACGATACTTCAAAAATGATACAAAACAAAACATATGGAAAATATGTACTCATTTATGTTTTTGTTTATTTCAGGACGTGGTCTACTACGAGCAGTAAGCTGTCAATGAATCGATTTATAAATGAACAAACACAGACGTTATTATCGCCGACTGCTTTTTGGTTCGACGTGTTTCATCGTCATAGCTTTAAGAATATTTTAACCCCTTATTTAATTAACGTTTCCGGGAATCTGAACAGTGCAACGCTTTGATCGATTTGGAATCTCCACAGCAACGGAATCTCCCCGCACAATTTTGATCTAAACTGCAGTTGCACCTTCGAATTTTTAAGAACCTGGGTTTTGGCATTTAAAACGCACAACAATGTAGCACAAACATTGACAAAAAAACACACAACGGAAAACAGACTACACACGAATAAACTGACGAGAACGAGTGCCTTATGACGTCCTAGTTGTTATTGTCGTCACCCCGCCCCGTTTCCCCGATTTATATACCTCGACATACTTAGCTTTGTTGTACCCAAAGGTCGGAGCACAGGATTACTTAACTGCAACCATGGCGTACCTAACTAATTTACTATTACCTACTACATAATACATATATTTTTGTATGAAACTAACCACAATCGAATTGTTATCCATTAAATGGCATTATAAGGCATTTCGGGATACCCGATATCCTCTAGTGGCGCCACGCAATTTGCATCATTTAAATATGTACTTCATCAATTTATTTATCTCTCAGTTATGCTGTAAAATAAACAAACTATATTTTATACAAAACAAATGCGAACCATCTGCATTCGGTGGCATTGCGGACTTTTTTATACAAAGGACTCAAGCGACGGGGCCTATTGTTCGATTTAGTCGTGATTCAGTCGTGAACATCTGGAATGTAACTGGGCATGGCTGATGAAAGGGATGTGCAGCTATCCTTAGTTATTCTTGGCGAAGTACTTCGTCTTCTCCTCTGGGTTAGGAACGATCTAGCAAAGCAATAGAAAGGCCATTTTTAAAGCTTTGAATATTTTGGCAGGAGGACTTTAAATGGTAAGCCCCTATTTTTACCAATTATACAAGATTAATCTAATATTTTTAACCCAATATTTCTTTCAATGCAAGCTCGTTAAATTTTAAAGGATTGTTTTCAAAACTCACCGTATCGGCACCTGGCCGCCAACCCGCTGGGCAAACTTCTCCATGGGTATCTGTGTACTGGAAGGCCTGCACCAGGCGAATAGTCTCGTCCACAGATCGTCCCACAGGCAGGTCGTTCATGGTGATCTGACGCAGTACTCCGGCTTGATCTATGATGAAGAGACCACGCAGGGCATGGCCACTAGACTCCAGATAGACGCCGTAGTCCTTGCTGATCTTGTGTGTCAGGTCGGAGAGCAGGGGGATCTTTACATTGCCGAGACCGCCTTCTTTGCGCGGCGTGTTGATCCAGGCCAAATGGGTGAAGTGAGAGTCCACGCTGACGCCGATCACTTCCGTCTTGATCTTTTTGAACTCTGCGATGCGATCGGAGAAGGCTATGATCTCCGTTGGGCAGACAAAGGTGCTGGAATAGGAATAAGGAGAGTAAAAATCGAAATACCACTAGAATTATACGGAATATTTTATTAGAAACTACTTTCTATGTAAAGTTTGATATTATAAAACATACAAAACCTACAAACTTTAAAATAAATACTTACAAATCGAGTGGGTAGAAGAGCAGCACCACGTATTTTCCAAGATACTGGGACAGCGATAATTTCACAATTTCCTTGTTGACCACAGCGGTTCCCTCGAACTGAGGGGCTGGCTTGGAAACTGTCAAAGCGAGGATAGTAAAGGGTTAATGATGATCCCTGAATACTTTATGGGTGGTACTTACTGACTGCCTTGGTGTATTGGAGTTGATGGTCGCCCTTTGGCTGATCGGGATATACATTTCCGCCGGCAAAGGAGTAACACGATTCATTATCTTCTGGCTTAGCAGCTCCAACAATTACTGCGGATAGCAGTAGCACCGATAAGTACTTGTTCATGACTGGGCTGAAACGAGATCCACGTATGAATATTCCAATTAGATACGCTTTTTACCATACTTATTAACGCAACTTTTACAACTATTGCCGCCCCTTCGATGTTATATTAACAATTTTATATATACCCACAGTAGATAACAGCTCTATTGAATAAACCTATATTTATTATGTAGAGAAGGTTCGAACATTTAAGATTGGGTTTCAGCTATATTTATAGTTAGAAGTGAATTGATTGAAAGGAAAATCCTCAATTTTTGAAGGGTGACAATGTTTCTGAAACACAATGCCTATCCAATCCATTATAACTGGTATACACTGTACTCACATGCCCTTAAAAACACGCCCACAACTTGTAGCCACGCAGTCAAAAAAATGTCTATTTCAATTGGCAGAACTTCAATTGATTTTGGTAGTTTGATTGTTGCTCTGCTTCCGAAAAGATAAAGCTTATCAATTTCATTCACATTCACTGGTAATAAATTTTATAGTTGTCAGCGTGTAACTACATACTTCAATAAATAACTCGCAAGGCAGCCAGAATTTCAATGAACTTGTATATTTATATAAGCAAACATACATATGTGCGATTCACTTCCTGCTTCCTTTTAATATTTATTTTTATTTGCAGACACACAATTGCACAGCTGTTACCTTTTAAGCGCTATAATTAACTCTTATTTTTAATAACAAATTGTTCTGCCGGCATTAGTGTTACAGTCGTACGCTAAAATACCGACAGCACGCTATGGTCATACTGTTTCAGGCGGTTAAGAGTTGCTAATATATATATTTAAAAAAACAAGAAAGAAAAGCTAACTTCGGACGGAGCCGAAGTTGATATACCCTTGCAGAATATTCTGTAAATTATATTCTTCAAAATTATTCATATGATGTATTCTTAATACTCATAAAAAGTCCCAACTTCCTAACTTTAAAAACACCAAAGTTATGGCATTTCCAATCGTTCAGTTATATGGCAGCTATAGGATATAGTCGGCCGATCCTTATGAAATTTGGTAGGTCGGATTGATTGGCCAAAAATAAAACCCATAGAAAATCCCAACTTCCTAACTTTACAAACACCCAAGTTATGGCATTTCCGATCAATCAGTTATATGGCGGCTATAGGATATAGTCGTCCGATCCTTATGAAATTTGGTAGGTCGGATTAATTGGCCAAAAATAAAACTTATAGAAAATCTCAACTTCCTAACTTTAAAAACACCAACATTATGGCTTTTCCGATCGTTCAGTTATATGGCAGCTATATGATATAGTAGCCCGATCCGGGCTAAGTCGTTCCGACTTATATACTACCTGCAATAGAAAGACAACTTTTGGGAAAGTTTCAAGCAGATAGCTTTAAAACTGAGGGACTAGTTTGCGTAGAAACGGACGGACGGACAGACGGGCATGGCTATATCAACACAGGAGGTGATCCTGATCAAGAATATATATACTTTATAGGGTCGGAAATGTCTCCTTCACTGCGTTGCAAACTTTTGACTGAAATTATAATACCCTCTGCAAGGGTATAAAAATTAAGATATATGCTTGTAATTAAAATTGTAATATTTAAAAGCAAGTAAAAAGGGTAACAATTAATTTTGTATATAAACCAAATAATGGTTTTTTAAAAATGAAAAAAAAATGGTTTTTATATTTCCAGTTTAAAAGAGAGAAACCATATTTAAAGGATCATTGTTTTAAAACAACCATTTAAACACTAGCCAGATGTATATGAAAGTACCAATTTGTATCGATGCATAGTAGTCCCCCTAGATAATTTTTTCCATTTAAAAATCAACATGTTTACTTAGTTTTTCTTACGCTATAAACTTTATTAAAATATATATCAATATATAAATTGCTCGCGCTTAAAAATTAAGGTTTACGCCTGGAGTTAAAACAACATGTACATATCTATGCATGTTTACTTGCTACGACCAATAAATATAGATATTTCTCTCTTACATCCTAGATGATATAATATGCATTACATCATTATCATGCGTCCTTTAAAAACTACAACAAATTGAGCAAAAATCTGTGTTAATTGCACAAAAAGCGAACATTTAAAGTACATTTCTTAGCATGCAAATTACTCATATATTTTGCTAGCTTCGATTGAGAAATTTTTTGTTGTGGATAATGGTTGGTAGTGATAGTGTTGATCTTCATGTTGTGGTTGCTGTCGCAGCTGTTGATTGATGGGTTGGAGAAAAATGCACCTTGCCTTCTTCCGGGCTGCGGCCTAGCTTTCCCAGACTTCGTCCCGCTGTTTGGCAGCTAACAGTTTGCGTTCTGTAAAGAGATTTTGGATAGAATAAGTAGGGGAAGAGCTTGGCAGAATAAGATATGAGCTACGTTGCCCCTTGGAGGTTTTAAAAATCGACCAAACATTTAGAATTGTCAATATATCATAGCAATTTAATTCCGTATCCCAGCTTGTCAACTAACCTTTGGCTTCACGTAGTACCCGCCTCTCGTTCTCCCGCTCCTGCGGCGCCGTGGGCAGTTTTACCCCCAATGCGCCGGAAACCAGTCGCCGCGCCAAGGCCGTGCATGTTTCCGGACGCTGGCGATACGGCTGCAATGATACGGCTCCGGCCTTCTTAGCCTTCAGTCGTGACTCCAACGTGGCCTCCGCCAGTGGCTTCAACTTGACAAACGGATGTCCCATCGTCAGCACCTCAGCAGCTGAGAAAAATATTATTCAGTTGAAATACGGAATCAATCTTCGATTAGAAAACAAACCACTCACCAATGCGGGAACTACTGAACACAGCTAGGGCGTGAGTATCGTCCACCCATTTAATGTCAAAGCCACTGCCCTTGTACTGGGCAAAAAGCATGAACAGGTCGGGCGTTTTGAACTCCACTGGGAAATTGGATACCTCCAGAACGTGGGGAAACTCCTCTTCGTTCAGTAGTTGTTGCTTGATGTGAAAGACCTGGGTGGATTGCAAAAAAAATAGTATTTACATTATCAAAAATTAAAAAAAGACTGTAGTTAATAGTAGTTCCTCTACTTACTGTATAGTCCATTTTGGGCAGCTCTATTTTGCACTTGCCAACAGATTCACTCAGTTCTTGGAGAATCTTGGGATCCAAGCAGTCACCACTTTCATCAAACATGTTCTCCCAGTCGTCCTCGTCCTCCTCGTCATCATCTTCAGTGGTGCTGTCTGCAGGTGGTTTCGCTGTGGCTGATGCTAGAGGAGATTGGCTTGCCTTGGGTGTCGCCGTTTCGATTTTTTCGGGAATCTCTAGCACATCCGAGACGAATGTTTGTTTCATGATGCGACGATTGCTGCGATTGATTTCCTAAATTGACAAGGAAAGCAGAAAGGTTAATCTCTTTACTGGTTTCAATGAGGCTGTAACTTACCTTTGAGGCTCGCTGCAGTTCGCGCACATCGTTATCACATTTGGCGGCCTCCTCGCCATTGGTTGTCCTGGGCACCGCCACATCCTCGATGCGCAATGGCGGCGATGGCTGGGACCTGCCGTTGCTGGTGGATTTGTTACCATTGCCTGGCTTTGTACGCTGGGCTCCACTCATGATCTGTGAGGAAATAATCTTTGGATTAGATATGTAGACTGCAATGTTTATCGCGTGATTTTTAAAACTTGATCTAAAGTTACTTGTTGCAAATGATGAGATTTAAGTGTATTCTTAGTTCGAATTTAAAAAAGGTCAATCTATTTATACTTTGTATTTGTTGTTTCTCACTTTATCTGAAACTTGCGACAGCTATTTATTTTATGTTACATTTTTCAAGCAAATGCTAATTGATGATGGAAAGTAGTTCTATTTACAACAATTTATATATTTAAGTGAATATTTTAAGTAAATTCTGAATTGAAATAAGTTTGGTATAGCAATTATAATCGGTTTTTGAGCACACACCTCCTTATCACAGTCCGCTGGCTTGGCCGGTCGGTTCTCTTGGTTTAATTGAGTATCGTTTTCAGTTCCTGATATAACGAGTACAGTGGCGTTATCGGCTGTTGTAGATGCAGATATAGAGTTCGATTTCTTGCCGCGTTCTCTGCGCTCGCGATGCGATTTCGATTTCTTCGATTTGGACAGCTGCTGACCGTTGGCGTCGTCCGTCTTGCTCGAGTTTGTATCTGCAACTGGTGGTGATTCCACTGTCGTAATTGCCGCTGGTGCTGCTGTTGCTGTTGTTACAACCGCTGTAGCTGTTGTCGTTGTAGTGGTCGGTGGTGTGGTTTGACTGCGACGTGCCCTTGGCACATAAACAGCGCGATCGGGACGGCGTTCGCGACGAGTGGCCGCTGCTGAGGAGTCCGCCTGTTGCTCTCTGCGAAACAGCGGAGCAAAACACAGGTAACCAGAAATAAAAGAAACGATAGGCGATTAGCTCACAACAGAATTTCGTCAGTTTCTGAGATACACACACAGTCGAACATCCATAAGAAAAACAATAATACTTATGCTAGTTTACAAACTTTGGAATAAATGGAATAAATTAGATTTACAGAAAACACTTCTAAACAAGAAAGGAATAGGGTCGTATATGTGCCCTAAGCAGCGCTGCAAATATTTGACTAACATGAATATGGGTCAAAATATTCATCAACATTGAATTTAAAACTTTGAATGCAGATTTTTAGAGGATCAAATCACTATTCATTAGAGGTATGCCACTTTGGAATCGGATTAAATTTGGTAAAGTTATGGACTCTCGAAGTCCAAATTTGAGTCACCCTTTTACAAGACATCGGAACCCTAGAAATAACTAACATGAAAATGGGTCAAAAATTTGAACAACGTTAAAATGAAAATTTTGAATGCAGTTTTTTTGAGAATCAAATTACGAGTCTTACGAGATATGCCACTTTCAAATCGGATTACATTTGGTAAAGTTATGGACTCCGGAAGTCCAGTTGTGGGTCACCATTTAACAACACATCGGAAACTTGGAAATAAATGACATGAAAATGGGTCAAAAATTGGAACAACGTTAAAATGAAAATTTTGAATGCAGTTTTTTTGAGAATCAAATTACGAGTCTTACGAGATATGCCACTTTCAAATCGGATTACATTTGGTAAAGTTATGGACTCCGGAAGTCCAGTTGTGGGTCACCATTTAACAACACATCGGAAACTTGGAAATAAATGACATGAAAATGGGTCAAAAATTGGAACAACGTTAAAATGAAAATTTTGAATGCAGTTTATTTGAGAATCAAATTACGAGTCTTACGAGATATGCCACTTTCAAATCGGATTAAATTTGGTGGAGTTATGGACTCCGGAAGTCCAGTTGTGGGTCACCTTTTGACAACACATCGGAAACTTGGAAATAAATGACATGAAAATGGGTCAAAAATTGGACCAACGTTAAAATGAAAATTTTGAATGCAGTTTTTTTGAGAATCAAATTACGAGTCTTACGAGATATGCCACTTTCAAATCGGATTAAATTTGGCAAAGTAATGGACTCCGGAAGTCCAGTTGTGGGTCACCTTTTGACAACACATCGGAAACTTGGAAATAAATGACATGAAAATGGGTCAAAAATTGGACCAACGTTAAAATGAAAATTTTGAATGCAGTTTTTTTGAGAATCAAATTACGAGTCTTACGAGATATGCCACTTTCAAATCGGATTACTTTTGGTAAAGTTATGGACTCCGGAAGTCCAGTTGTGGGTCACCATTTAACAACACATCGGAAACTTGGAAATAAATGACATGAAAATGGGTCAAAAATTGGAACAACGTTAAAATGAAAATTTTGAATGCAGTTTATTTGAGAATCAAATTACGAGTCTTACGAGATATGCCACTTTCAAATCGGATTAAATTTGGTGGAGTTATGGACTCCGGAAGTCCAGTTGTGGGTCACCTTTTGACAACACATCGGAAACTTGGAAATAAATGACATGAAAATGGGTCAAAAATTTGACCAACGTTAAAATGAAAATTTTGAATGCAGTTTTTTTGAGAATCAAATTACGAGTCTTACGAGATATGCCACTTTCAAATCGGATTAAATTTGGGAAAGTAATGGACTCCGGAAGTCCAGTTGTGGGTCAGCTTTTGACAACACATCGGAAACTTGGAAATAAATGACATGAAAATGGGTCTAAAATTGGACCAACTTTAAAATGAAAATTTTGAATGCAGTTTTTTTGAGAATCAAATTACGAGTCTTACGAGATATGCCACTTTCAAATCGGATTAAATTTGGCAAAGTTATGGACCTTGGAAGTCCAGTTGTGGGTCACCTTTTGACAACACATCGGAAACTTGGAAATAAATGACATGAAAATGGGTCTAAAATTGGACCAACTTTAAAATGAAAATTTTGAATGCAGTTTTTTTGAGAATCAAATTACGAGTCTTACGAGATATGCCACTTTCAAATCGGATTACATTTGGTAAAGTTATGGACTCCGGAAGTCCAGTTTTGGGTCACCATTTAACAACACATCGGAAACTTGGAAATAAATGACATGAAAATGGGTCAAAAATTGGACCAACGTTAAAAAGGAAATTTTGAATGCAGTTTTTTTGGGAATCAAATTACGAGTCTTACGAGGTAGGCCACTTTCAAATCGGATTAAATTTGGTAGAGTTATGGACTCCGGAAGTCCAGTTGTGGGTCACCTTTTGACAACACATCGGAAACTTGGAAATAAATGACATGAAAATGGGTCAAAAATTTGACCAACGTTAAAATGAAAATTTTGAATGCAGTTTATTTGAGAATCAAATTACGAGTCTTACGAGATATGCCACTTTCAAATCGGATTAAATTTGGTGGAGTTATGGACTCCGGAAGTCCAGTTGTGGGTCACCTTTTGACAACACATCGGAAACTTGGAAATAAATGACATGAAAATGGGTCAAAAATTGGACCAACGTTAAAATGAAAATTTTGAATGCGGTTTTTTTGAGAATCAAATTACGAGTCTTACGAGATATGCCACTTTCAAATCGGATTAAATTTGGGAAAGTAATGGACTCCGGAAGTCCAGTTGTGGGTCACCTTTTGACAACACATCGGAAACTTGGAAATAAATGACATGAAAATGGGTCAAAAATTGGACCAACGTTAAAATGAAAATTTTGAATGCAGTTTTTTTGAGAATCAAATTACGAGTCTTACGAGATATGCCACTTTCAAATCGGATTACTTTTGGTAAAGTTATGGACTCCGGAAGTCCAGTTGTGGGTCACCATTTAACAACACATCGGAAACTTGGAAATAAATGACATGAAAATGGGTCAAAAATTGGAACAACGTTAAAATGAAAATTTTGAATGCAGTTTATTTGAGAATCAAATTACGAGTCTTACGAGATATGCCACTTTCAAATCGGATTAAATTTGGTGGAGTTATGGACTCCGGAAGTCCAGTTGTGGGTCACCTTTTGACAACACATCGGAAACTTGGAAATAAATGACATGAAAATGGGTCAAAAATTTGACCAACGTTAAAATGAAAATTTTGAATGCAGTTTTTTTGAGAATCAAATTACGAGTCTTACGAGATATGCCACTTTCAAATCGGATTAAATTTGGGAAAGTAATGGACTCCGGAAGTCCAGTTGTGGGTCAGCTTTTGACAACACATCGGAAACTTGGAAATAAATGACATGAAAATGGGTCTAAAATTGGACCAACTTTAAAATGAAAATTTTGAATGCAGTTTTTTTGAGAATCAAATTACGAGTCTTACGAGATATGCCACTTTCAAATCGGATTAAATTTGGCAAAGTTATGGACCTTGGAAGTCCAGTTGTGGGTCACCTTTTGACAACACATCGGAAACTTGGAAATAAATGACATGAAAATGGGTCTAAAATTGGACCAACTTTAAAATGAAAATTTTGAATGCAGTTTTTTTGAGAATCAAATTACGAGTCTTACGAGATATGCCACTTTCAAATCGGATTACATTTGGTAAAGTTATGGACTCCGGAAGTCCAGTTTTGGGTCACCATTTAACAACACATCGGAAACTTGGAAATAAATGACATGAAAATGGGTCAAAAATTGGACCAACGTTAAAAAGGAAATTTTGAATGCAGTTTTTTTGGGAATCAAATTACGAGTCTTACGAGGTAGGCCACTTTCAAATCGGATTAAATTTGGTAGAGTTATGGACTCCGGAAGTCCAGTTGTGGGTCACCTTTTGACAACACATCGGAAACTTGGAAATAAATGACATGAAAATGGGTCAAAAATTTGACCAACGTTAAAATGAAAATTTTGAATGCAGTTTTTTTGAGAATCAAATTACGAGTCTTACGAGATATGCCACTTTCAAATCGGATTAAATTTGGGAAAGTAATGGACTCCGGAAGTCCAGTTGTGGGTCAGCTTTTGACAACACATCGGAAACTTGGAAATAAATGACATGAAAATGGGTCTAAAATTGGACCAACTTTAAAATGAAAATTTTGAATGCAGTTTTTTTGAGAATCAAATTACGAGTCTTACGAGATATGCCACTTTCAAATCGGATTAAATTTGGCAAAGTTATGGACCTTGGAAGTCCAGTTGTGGGTCACCTTTTGACAACACATCGGAAACTTGGAAATAAATGACATGAAAATGGGTCTAAAATTGGACCAACTTTAAAATGAAAATTTTGAATGCAGTTTTTTTGAGAATCAAATTACGAGTCTTACGAGATATGCCACTTTCAAATCGGATTACTTTTGGTAAAGTTATGGACTCCGGAAGTCCAGTTGTGGGTCACCATTTAACAACACATCGGAAACTTGGAAATAAATGACATGAAAATGGGTCAAAAATTGGAACAACGTTAAAATGAAAATTTTGAATGCAGTTTATTTGAGAATCAAATTACGAGTCTTACGAGATATGCCACTTTCAAATCGGATTAAATTTGGTGGAGTTATGGACTCCGGAAGTCCAGTTGTGGGTCACCTTTTGACAACACATCGGAAACTTGGAAATAAATGACATGAAAATGGGTCAAAAATTTGACCAACGTTAAAATGAAAATTTTGAATGCAGTTTTTTTGAGAATCAAATTACGAGTCGTACGAGATATGCCACTTTCAAATCGGATTAAATTTGGGAAAGTAATGGACTCCGGAAGTCCAGTTGTGGGTCAGCTTTTGACAACACATCGGAAACTTGGAAATAAATGACATGAAAATGGGTCTAAAATTGGACCAACTTTAAAATGAAAATTTTGAATGCAGTTTTTTTGAGAATCAAATTACGAGTCTTACGAGATATGCCACTTTCAAATCGGATTAAATTTGGCAAAGTTATGGACCTTGGAAGTCCAGTTGTGGGTCACCTTTTGACAACACATCGGAAACTTGGAAATAAATGACATGAAAATGGGTCTAAAATTGGACCAACTTTAAAATGAAAATTTTGAATGCAGTTTTTTTGAGAATCAAATTACGAGTCTTACGAGATATGCCACTTTCAAATCGGATTACATTTGGTAAAGTTATGGACTCCGGAAGTCCAGTTTTGGGTCACCATTTAACAACACATCGGAAACTTGGAAATAAATGACATGAAAATGGGTCAAAAATTGGACCAACGTTAAAAAGGAAATTTTGAATGCAGTTTTTTTGGGAATCAAATTACGAGTCTTACGAGGTAGGCCACTTTCAAATCGGATTAAATTTGGTAGAGTTATGGACTCCGGAAGTCCAGTTGTGGGTCACCTTTTGACAACACATCGGAAACTTGGAAATAACTGACATGAAAATGGGTCAAAAATTTGATCAACGTTAAATTGAAAAATTTGAATGCAGTTTTTTTGAGAATCAAATTACGAGTCTTACGAGATATGCCACTTTCAAATCGGATTAAATTTGGGAAAGTAATGGACTCCGGAAGTCCAGTTGTGGGTCAGCTTTTGACAACACATCGGAAACTTGGAAATAAATGACATGAAAATGGGTCTAAAATTGGACCAACTTTAAAATGAAAATTTTGAATGCAGTTTTTTTGAGAATCAAATTACGAGTCTTACGAGATATGCCACTTTCAAATCGGATTAAATTTGGCAAAGTTATGGACCTTGGAAGTCCAGTTGTGGGTCACCTTTTGACAACACATCGGAAACTTGGAAATAAATGACATGAAAATGGGTCTAAAATTGGACCAACTTTAAAATGAAAATTTTGAATGCAGTTTTTTTGAGAATCAAATTACGAGTCTTACGAGATATGCCACTTTCAAATCGGATTACATTTGGTAAAGTTATGGACTCCGGAAGTCCAGTTGTGGGTCACCTTTTGACAACACATCGGAAACTTGGAAATAAATGACATGAAAATGGGTCAAAAATTGGACCAACGTTAAAAAGGAAATTTTGAATGCAGTTTTTTTGGGAATCAAATTACGAGTCTTACGAGGTAGGCCACTTTCAAATCGGATTACATTTGGTTAAGTTATGGACTCCGGAAGTCCAGTTGTGGGTCACCTTTTGACAACACATCGGAAACTTGGAAATAAATGACATGAAAATGGGTCAAAAATTTGACCAACGTTAAAATGAAAATTTTGAATGCAGTTTTTTTGAGAATCAAATTACGAGTCTTACGAGATATGCCACTTTCAAATCGGATTAAATTTGGCAAAGTTATGGACCTTGGAAGTCCAGTTGTGGGTCACCTTTTGACAACACATCGGAAACTTGGAAATAAATGACATGAAAATGGGTCAAAAATTTGACCAATGTTAAATGAAAATTTGGAATGCAGTTTTTTGAGAATCAAATTACGAGTCTTACGAGATATGCCACTTTCAAATCGGATTAAATTTGGCAAAGTTATGGACTCCGGAAGTCCAGTTGTCGGAAACTTGGAAATAAATGACATGAAAATGGGTCAAAAATTTGATCAACGTTAAATTGAAAATGTTGAATGCAGATTTTTAAAGAATAGAATCACAAGTCTTTAGAGGTTATGCCACTTTGGAATCGGATTAAATTTGGAAAAGTTATGGACCAGTCCAATTTTAAGTCACTCTATTACAACACAACGGAAAATTAGAAATAACTAATGGTTTGCTCGCCTTAACGTGCTAGTTCTTTAATGTTCCTACCTGTTGGGGGATCCTATAGAGGTAGGATTTGTAGTTGCAGATGTCGCTGTTCCTGCAGCTGTTGTTGTGATTATTGTTGTTATTGATTCGTTCGCTGCAGCTGCTTCCTCGCTGCTGCTGTTGTTGTTATTGCTATTGTTGTTCCTTAAGGCTGGCGGTCTGTATAAATCCACCGAGTTCGATTTGCTTACTGCAAGATAAACAGGTAGGTAACCATTAATGTGATACTTTGGAAGAGAAAAACATGCAGATGATATACTTTAAACGAGACAAAGAAAGAATAGGCAGAAAGATCGCCGAATGAGAGAGGCAAGCAGATGATTAGCAACAATAGTTGGCAAATGTACAAAACAAACCGAAAAAATAGAGACTAAGGTGAAGCAACGGATTCGGCATAAAATAAATTAAAACAAAAATTCACTTATGTCGACCCAATTTTTCATGGCATGCTTTGGGCCCGATATTCGTGAATGTCAACATGAGACTTGGCAGGTGGATCCCAGGTGGTAAAGGGGAGGCAGGGGGGCGGGGCAGCGTTAGTGAGCGTGCGCAGCCGCGACCAGCTGAGCGTCTACCTGGTGAAGCCAAGTGAAGTGAAGTGAGGTGAGGTGTGTGATGCAACAGCACCAAAAATCCGCTCGAGAAAGAGGGCGACCTTGAATGAACGGTCGACGGCACTGCTTGCGTCGCTCAGCTGGCATCTGGTTAATTTTAGTTAAATATTTTATTCGCTTTACCCTTAGCTAGAAAGTATACATTACTTGTGTTGGAGGCGAAATTAATAAATCAATTAAAAGATTGAATACATAGATTACCAATCATATCAATTAAAATACCGCAACAATAATATAATCTAATATTTGGTTTTTTAAATTGAGAAATATTTATTTGTTATGATGGAACAAACTGCTTTGTTTTTGTATATTATGTTTAGCATTCATTACCTATTATAAATATTAAAAAAATTCAAGGTCAAGATTTTTTAATATAACTCCTTAAAAAAGTGCAATGTTATGAAACAAAAAATATCATACATTTTCTTTAAAGATTTAATTGATATGTATGAACAAAAGTATTAGGGAGAACGGGTATATCTTTTTAAATTTAAAGCAGAAATATTATTAATTTATTATTATAAATTGAACCCAAAAACTAGAGTATTGTCCAGTTCGTTGCATTCACACATGGCCATATATATTTTGATTTCTTTGTTTTGCATTTTCTGCGTATTTGCAAACATTTAAATTTATGGCCGCTTGCTAAACTCAAATGCCGAAACGCTTCGCGCCGAAATGTGATTAAAAACAAAACAGCCTTTGTTTATTTGCTTAGTTAAGTATTATCTACTCACATGGTGTTTCGCTGATATGCTTCTTAACGCCCATCTTACAGAGCTCCGTTGTGTTTCTTCTGCTGGCGCTGCTGCTTCTGCCGTTCCCGTGTGAATTGTTGTTGCTCCGCCAGCTCTTCGCTGCCTCCTTATCTCGCTCCCTCTCACGGGTCTGCTGGTACCGCTCCCGCTCCTTATCCCTCTGCTGCTGCTGCTTGCGGCTGTTAAATATTAATGAATTACTAATTAATCAATTCAAAACATTTTCGGAAGCTTAAAGAGGGTCTGCACTTTTGATCAAAGCTTATGGTATTTCCTCGGACAAGCATGTATTTTATAAATTACGGAAATTGTTATTTATATTAATGGTCTTCCTCTTTATTATTTTATTGGGATTAAACCATTTTTTGTGTAATTTTAAATCCTTTAAGATCCTTTAAATGCTATCAATACTCACGCTTCAAAACCCTGTGGATCGAGGAGTTGGTTGCGAAAACACAGGACTGTGCGGCGCTGCGGCCCTTGGCCCACTGAGAAGGTGAACAGATCGTACTGCTGGCGGTATTTCTCACATGTTTGGTGGATGAGATAACGGCGGTAATTGCCCACAGGTGGAAAGAGCAGAACGCTGTAAAGAAAGGGAGAAGGTGAATAAACTATTGATCAATGTCGATTGCGTGAGTGTGTTTTGATGAGTCGTTTATGCGTGAATTCCATTAACGCTAATTGGGGGAATTGAAAACATTCCTGATAAACAACACACACACTTCTAATAAAGAATGTTCTTCGCTTAAGTTAACAAAACAGACTGAAACATTTGTGGTCAGTACTTGGAAATTAAGAAAACAGAAAATGGATTCTAAAACATTACTGTTACATTTTGTTTTCAAATTAATAATTTTTTCAGCTGCTCTAAAATACAAATTTGTAAAGTAGAGCCGATTCCAAAGGTAAAAATTAAATATATCAATTATAACGGTATCCATCATTACATTCACTTTAATATTATTTTATTGTTTTCATTATTATATTAGTGTACTTAATTGTTTTAGAACTGAAGATGTTATGGCTCCGCATAAACGAAGTTAGAAAGACGACCAATTAGACCAGAATTCATAACAGGTTGTTGGGAATTCTCACCCAGAAGAGGAAGCACAAGACCTTAAGAAGAGGGCCAAAACAAACACAAAACCGAAGCTAAGCACGGCTTGTAAAATGTATTACGTAACGATGGTGTAATATTTAAAAACTGAAATTTCTATGCGGCGTAGCGGTTGTTTATCGCGCGGCGATTAATTGTTTATTAAGCGCGGACTGAATGCAAAAAGAGCATGAAGCCCCCACAAAATATTGGTGTTAGTTGGCGCAACTGCAATGCGGAAAATGGCATATCTTATTGTTGTTGTTGCTGTTGCAGCTGGGAAAACTCGAAATTGTGCAGAAAAAAAGAAGCGAAAAACTGGTAATTTCTGCACGAAAGGCACACAAAACTCGTACTACTTCTCCATATTGTTGTTGTTTTTTTTTTTCTGTTGCACATTTCCGTATTACCATTGTTGTAACGGGACTTGGTTACAAGTCTCTATCTCTCTCTTTCTAACAATGTCTTTATTTGTTGTTTTTAAAGGTGAGCAGGGGGATAATATTTCTCTCTCCCTTGCTCACACAAGCAGAGTCCACAACACACACACACACCTACGCACTTGATATTCTCGTGGCAAAAGGTTCTAAACTGAATTCTTTTCGTCGGTATGATTCTTACCCACTACTTAGGCGCTTCTTCACAAACAGCTCAATATCACAACCGACATTATGCACAAATTCCTGATCAATAAGACTTAAATTATTTGCGAATGCCTCCAGTTTATTTAAAAAAAGTCGCGACGACGAAAAACCCGACGTCGCACGCACACACACAGTTACACAGTTAGAACTATTGGTGATACTCACAGGTTGGGGAGTCATCGATGTTTTTTCCGCGATTAGACATCGATGATTCGCTACGACTATCGATGTTTGTAGGCGCCAAAGCTAAAAAATATGAATTTGTTGTTTTCTATTTAGCATTTTGCGTTTGATATGGCATAATACTTTTGTTGATTTCAGATGTTTTTATGGCTCCTACCATGCCTGCTAAAAAAACACTTAATTTCGCAAAACCATTTCATTTAGTTAACAAATCGCACTATTCCCTTATTTGCTTGGGTCTTCTTCAGGATGCAGAGCTATTTGCAGACTATTTGGCGTATTTAAGTCATTGGTGGGAAAAATAAAGGAATCCTTACCAATTTGACCGACTTTTTATTTTTGCTTTCAAACATTGGTTGTTATCGACTATCGGTTCTTGCATATATCAAGCAAAGACCTAAACCGTTACTATAAAAAAACCAATATCCCCTTAACGCTTTTTTAAGTTTACAAAATTCAAAATTTAAGTTTATTTCACATTATTTAATCGAAGCAGTACTGTTATGTAATAAATCGTTTATCCACCCAAATTCTTGAACTATAATGTTAATACATTTTTTCTTCCTTATTCCCTTTTAAAAATACATTTTTTAAAAATACAAAGTTTCAAACAAAAGGCTTCTGCATATCCATATTTTGAGATGTACAAATGTTTTAAAAAAAATTAAAAGATGTAATTATTTAAGCCTAGTAAGTATTTTTATTTGTGAAAATCGAGTGCTTTAAATATTTTATACCGAATGACTATTAAAAATAGGTTAAGTAGTTCATTTTACAAGCTTAGTGGCTTTATACTTCCTCCATTGAGCTACTTTTTTTTTGACTAAACACTGCAGAGTTTTCGCTGCCAATATTTGAGTAGGTGCTCAAAATTAAATTTTGCATAAACACGAACGTCCGAACGGAAAAGCGGGGGGAAAACCTGTCGCTCACTCCTTTTCCGCTTTCACGGCTGTCAACGGGCTATCGCGTCCTTGACACCTCCCAAGCCACCAAAGCACCCGAAAACCACCCACTTGCACCACCACCCACTGCCATTTTCTAATGGCTCTGTTCGGGAAACTCGCTGTTTGCGCCCGGCAAATGTTTATTTATGAATTTCTTTCACTTTCGCTCCTGCTCTTTATGGATCGAAGTGTCACCAGACGGCGACTTTAACCACGACAAATATTATGGCGGAGTCAACTTTTTATTCTTGTTTAATTTGTTTTGGTTTTTGCATTTTATTGCTCAATTAATTGGGCAGGCAAGCGGAGCAAATAAAGTTGCGCCCTTGCAGATGATAAATCGGGAGAATCGCACACAAATATTCCGCCATTCACCGATTTCAGAGCAGTGGGCTATGAGCCATAAAAGTCAATTCCGAAAACCCACGCAGAAAGCACTATGAAAAACACTAAGCTTCAATGACTGAGAACAAATTAAAATATAATTATAAAATATTTTTAAAAGTGGCTGAATATATGAAGTCCATTTTAAAAACAAAGAAATTATTGGTTTTCCTAACTGACTTCCAATTATTTTGTTGTGAATAATATTTTCTAATAAATAATCTTTTATACAATAAGCTTCTGCCTTAATATATGGAAAACCAAAATAAATAAAAGGTAGCTATTTATATTTAAATAGTGTTCAAGATAAGGGTAAATATTTTTGCGAGTGCTTGGTTATCGCTCATACATTTCCATTCATTACAGGACGAAAGGCAGGCCAAAAACTATACCCATTGCCACGCCCCGTCCGGCAATTTGTAACGCCTTTTGCTGTCATCTCCTGTCAAAATGGCTTTCATAAAACTGACTCTTCGGCCCAGTCCCCAATTTTCGGCAAATTGTCCCCGTTTATTTCGCCTGATAATGCCTCAATAAAATCTGCCCGGCATCTTTTATGGATAGGTGTTCGGATATATGACTGGGTTTCTGCTGTAGGTGTAGGTGTCTGTTATCGGCAATATATGTCCTTCCCGTATCTACAGCAAATATCCCATGTTATGCCAAACTATTTTGCAATTACAAAAGTTGTAAATTTTTACGATCTTAAAGCGTTTTGCCTGTAAAAGCCCAGATGGAAGGTCCTTTTGAATTGGAATTTTATCTTTTTGGCCAGCAATCGGTATGGTTGGTTTAGTGAAATAGTTTTTCATCCATTTATGATTACAACATCATCTGGTTTTAATTACTTTTGAGTCGTGCGGGTGGCCTCAGAGATTAGGGGCAGCAATTAACTTGTAATTTAATATTGTGTTATTTATTTTCAAGTTTGTTTTTAATTTCTATTGAATTTAAAAGGACATTTTTATGCCACATTTATTTAATTTAAATTATATTCTAATTGTAAACATTATTAATAATTTATTATTAACTTAATAGCTTAGTAGTCTAAATTAAAAAGTGATTTATCTTTTGACTACATTTCATTCCTGTTAACCATTTTGTTATTTATTTTGTCCTTAACTAATGATTAAACCACATTTTGTTTTTCTTTTACCTTGGCTTATTTACTTTTTCTTATCTTGACTTTGATTGTGTAAGCTTTTAATATTTCTTTATCCCGCGGTCTTTTCATTAATTGAGTTTCTGCGAAAGACTACGCAACAAAATGCTTTGCAAAGGTATTTAAAACATCAATGAAGGTGGTGCGGAAAATAAATCAGTCTTTTACCTTCGCTTTGTTTGTTTTCCAGCTTCTTTTATCTTGAGGCTCCCTTGTGATTCAGGAAATTTTCCGCTAAGTTGTAAAGCTGCTGTTCAAGGCTTTTCCGACAACTGCGAAATTGTTCGCTGCATTTTTCTTATGGCTTTGCAATAAATAAAGTTTTAATTGCGCTTCGACGGGATTCTTGGCAGCAGAAAGATTATAATTTCAGATAATTCACACATTTCAACAATTTCAATTAGTGGTCAAGGAGTTGGGCAATTAATATTCCGGAAAGAAGTGAGTGAATTTCCATGATTAAAATTCGAGACAGAGGACAAAGTCTAGACTCTGCTCATAATTTTCTGATAAAACTTGAGTAATTTGGGCTACGTGATTCAGTCTAATCGAAGGCAAACATAAACACACTTAAGATAATCAATTTATGGTTTCACACGCCTCCATGCGACAAATTCGGTTTCCATTCTCCATATGCCGGTGGAAAATTTCTTATTCATAGCTGAATTAAATTCCCTTCAAAACAAACAAATGGAAAATCCAGAGAACTCGTTTCCTCGTTTTTCCCTTTTTGTCCTGGGATGCCTTTCCTTCTAATTTCCTTTTATCGAATTTACGATTTGTTGGTCATGTCATCAACTCTCGACTACGGCGACGCCAACACTGCGGATACGCAATGTTCAGTGGGTTTTTGGGCGACTCTCGGAATTTGTTTTTCCTTTTGTGCTCGTTTTTCTGCATCAATCTTTGATTTGCAAATTATTTTTGCATTCCACACAAACGACTTGTGTTTTTATAGTTCCAAGGGATCCATTTTTTTTTTTTGGGTCCTGCCTGATAAATTGTCCCACATAAAGAGCAACAAGGAATCGCAGCTAAGGCCTAGGGTTCAAATTTAAAGAGCATGAAATGGAATTGTGGGTGCGACAATAAACGTAAAGTTATGTGTATGAGGGGAATTTGCTATGTTCTGTTACGAGAGGTGTTAAATCTTAAAGAGGTTGTAAAATGGGTCAAATTATGTGTATTTCTGATTTAATGAAAATATTTCAATTTATTAAAGATTATGGTGTTTATAACTTTAAAAGTGTTAAATTTAATATTAAGGTGGGACTTGAGTGAAATTGAAATATCTATTATATAATCTTTAACAAACATAATAACAGGAAATCATACACACATGTACATACACAGCTACACTTAAGTACTAAGGATCCTATTGTACATACATACTCTAAGATAAGTTCCAAAATTGTTATATCCTATATATGTCTCTTTTAAACCTGTGCGATACTCATTGTCAACCGAACACTATGTCTATCTCGCTCTCGCAAGTACGATCGATCGACTCTTGTGAAATAGGCTAAGCATGCATAACTTGGAAAAGAATAAACTCACTTTTGCTGCGACCACTGAATAAACAACACGTATTTGTGCCACCTACAAAGGATTTACTATTGGAGAAAAATTACGCTCATTTATAAACCTTTACAATCTCTCATTACTTTGATCTTTACGCAAAGTAATAAATAACATAAACGCAAAAACGCCTCTGCAAATAACTCTCGTTTTTATCAACTCTTATGCGGCTTATAATTTATGGGCATTCAAATGGAAGAAATCTTTGAAACGCCGCAGGACCTGTTCGCATGCATTGCCAAATGTCATGTGGCTGGCGCCACATAACCTTTTTGGCCCCGTTATCCCGTCTTGCGGCCCACGCACCCGAGTCCTTTTTGGCTGACATTTGCAAAGTGCAGCTGGGCGAACTCCAAAACAAAGCAACAAAAAACTGGAGGCAAATGCAGGCGATGACGCTAGCCACATCTATGTGGGTGCACAGAAAAAAAATTTTTTGGGCAATCACAGATAAATAGCAAAGGCTTATTTATACAGTATGAACATGCAACCAATCAATAAAAAAGGGACCCTAAAGCTTTTATTTTATAATGTACTAATTTTAATACCAATTTACGCTTTAACAATTATAATTTACCATTAATTTTTTTCCTCAATTAAATTGTATATTCTAAAGAATTAACCATCATTTTTCTCAGTGTTTTATTGTTTTTGGTCCTGCATCATGACTAAAGATGTTTTTTTTTGTAAAGTTCCGAAACAATTTTTTTTGTTCATAGTTTGGAATAATACCAAGTTGAACGTTAAGCCACCGACAAGAAAACTAAAGAAACGGTAGACATACAAATGGTCACGTTCCTTGCGTGAAAATTTCTACTTTTCCTTTTGCGTGTTTTGCTGTGTGCGGTAAACACTTTATATACGCAAGTAGTTG